AAGAAATTAATTTTTATAGATTAAGAAATAGATCTTAATACTAACCTGCTTGTAATAGATGTTCACAAAGACGTTTAGCGGAAGAAAGTTTTGCTTGTTTAACAGTTGAACGAATAGGACCCTAAGAAAAGAAAATTATGACAAGTAAAAACGAATTTTTGGAAAAAAGAAAATTCATACAATGATTGTTGTTCTTGCTGGTGAATTAACAGGTAATGAAAGAATACATTGATATTGTTTATGATCAAGTTGTTTTATTTCACATGATGGAACTAATGTTGTTAAAGCATCACATGGAAGTCGAGCACAATATCTAAGATAGTAAAAATTCAATTTAGATAAATGAATAGTAAAATAATAATAATAATAATAATAGTAAGATTTACCTGTTGATTACTTCAATAGCATTTGGTATTCGTTCACGGTCGATAATTGTTGATGGAAGAGTATTATTGATTTCTTGAAAATCTTTTGTTAAAACCTTATATAAAAATAAGAATTGAACTTAATTGAACAATTTATTATCAAAAAAATTTTGTTTATTTTTACTTCTCTAAAGAAATTCTCCGTCTTAAAGATATAGTCTCATTTAAAACTCTTTGCTAAAATTAGAAATATGCAGGATAAGCTTTTTTCATACAGTGTACCCTCACTGACAAGAACATGTTTCTATGTATCATATCGCTTTTGAATTGGAACTATGTGTATCATGTAGGTTCTACTGAGATATGAATACCACGAAAAGAGTTCAGGCTAATAGCTTATTACTGCCAAGATATTGTATTATTTTTCTCACCACTCATATACAAAGGCAAATTTCGATGTTCTTATTTCAAAATAGGTGCAATTGAAAAATCTGAAACTTTCACAATAAACTGTTCCTGTTAAAGGCTATCTATTTACAAAACTTCAAGTAGAAATTGACAGTAATATATTATTAGCCTGAGTTTTTTTTCATAGTATTCAAAGTTTCTGAGAATCTACATGATGTACATAGTTCCAACTCAAAAGCGATTTGATATTTAGAAACATTCCTTTGTGAGAGAAATTTTCTAGCCCATACTCTACTCAGTAACCCTGCACATCCCTAGATAAAATTAACATTCTATTCATTTGAAAAGAACAAAAACAAACGGTATATGTCTATATTTTTTTTTGTTTTTGTACAGATTTTTTCTCATCAAATTACTATCTGTATGGCCTACCTGTTCAATGCCTTTATATGAATTAAGATTTGTTAAAAATGTATCATATTCATCTTGTTCAACAAGCATAAAGAAGTGTGGTGTTTGAGCTCGTGCTTTGCCCTATATAAAATTTCCAATCGTCAAGAATTAAATTATATTTAAAAAAGAAAAACTTTTACTTTTGACTGTATATACGATCGATAATTAGTTGGTACATTAAATCGAATAACTAAATTACAATCTGGTATATCTTTTAATTCTTCAAGAGAACTCAAGGCAACAATAATATTATTTTCACCAAGTCGAAATTTACGCATTACTTCTTCCTAAAATCAATATGAAAACATTGAAAGTTTTATTAATGAAAATTTTTTTTTTTTTTTTTCTTGAATATACTTGTTTTCGACTATCCATCGGTTGAATATGTTGACTAGCCGATAAATCATCTGTTGGTTGCATTGTTGAATATCCAATTAAAAAATTTGGTCGAATAAATGAATATTCATCAGCAAAACGTTTTGCTGCATCTTTTAATAGAGCATTAAGTACAGCTGTTTCTTGTTTACGATCAACAAATATGATTGCTGACCAACGACGATTAAGTGTACTTGTTGCATCGGATTGAAAACGTTTTAATATATCAAATAATGAACGTAATTTAGATGTTGTATATTGTTCAAATAATGTATGAGAATCAAGTGTTTCAATTACAGTTTTAATACGTGATCTCCAAAGACGAAGTAATGTACAAGTCCAATCAAGAAATAATGAATATGCACGTGGTGATGAAAGAGAAAGATGAGATGAAGAAAAAGTTGAGGATAAAGAAGAAGAAGATGAAACAGTATTTTGTTCAATAGCAATACTTGAAAGACGTTCTAATTGTGTTATAATTGGTAATGATGAACGAAGTAATGCCCAAATGCCTAATTTATTAACTAGACGTAAACATTCCGTAAGTACTTGACGAGGAATAATTAATGGTGATGAATTTTCATCAGAATTAGTTGATGGTGAGATTTGTGATGGTTCTAATTTGTTTAAATAATCAAGAGCTTCATGAATTTCCTTTAATAAAAATTTAAAAAAAACAAATATTTTATGAAGTTCAATATTCAAAAGATTAAATATCTGGAAATCGAAAAATTACTTATTGAAACAGATTTCAGAAAAAAACAAACTGTCATCTTTCATATAAGTCATAATCTTAAACATAAATCAAGCCTCAAATTTTTGGAAACCTTGTATTTTTATGTGAAATTTTGCGCATATAGAGAAATCAATTAGACTAGCTTCCATGAAAAAAATTCAGAAGTTTTGAATAAAGTTTATTCGAAGTATAAGACTTTCACAATATAAACGCTTTTCTATCAATAATGTATACAACATATAATTTTTTGAAGGTTTTATATTTCGAAGAGACTTTGTTCAATACTTTTGAATTTTTTTTCTTTATGAAAGTTAATCTTGATGATTTCTCTATATGCACAATAGTTCAAATCAAAATTCGAAAATATGAGTTTTTCGAAAAGCTGGAGTCTCTAGAAAAAAATTCGATAACTTAGTCAAATCTTAATTGGAATCCGAATCCTGGTAAGATTTTTATGAAAACACTATGTAGTATCTATCAGCAAAACAAAAATCATTGAAATCAGAAGGAAGTAGTTGAAGAAGTTCCTTGATAAGTATAGTGAATATTTCTTAAACTTATTATTATTCAATCTTGCTGTGATTTCCATTTTATTCTGTCTCATAACTTATAAAATACATTTGAATAGTTACTCTGTCCAAGTTCGAAAAAATCATTAGCGTCTTCAAAGAACAAAAAAAAAAGCAGTCTAAACCAAGATTGGAATTTTTAGAATTTTTGACGATTGATATTAGTGCGTCTCTGAATATAAAATTTATATGAATATCAACTTCATCTCTCCAGAACAGAATTATTATCTTATATTGTGATCAACTCTGTTAGATATTCAATGTCTTAATCAGTAAGAAGATTAAATATTAATTTATTCGAAAATTCAATATAAAATTAATTCTGAATAAGATATTGAAAATTTATTTATACTTGTATTATTTCAAGTGTAATTTCAGGTTGTTGTTGTTGTTGTTTATTATTATTTTTACATACAATAATTGTTTCTTTTGGTACTTTTGATAATCGATTCGACTGACGACAAATAAAATCCGTAGCAGTAAAAACAGTTGAGCTATAGAATTTTAAAAAAAAATAGAAATCTAATTTAAATCATTCATATACAAGAAAGAAAGAAAAAGAAATTCATATACCAAAACAAATTATGTAAATTTTCAATACGTTCTTCAAGTTGTATTGTTGTACAATGTGTTTTAAGTAAAGCTGTAGTTATTGAAAAAAGACGAGGTAATTGAATATTATTATGATCTTTTCTATCCCAAAGATTTTTATATTGTTTAAGAATAGATCCAAATGCATGATCACGAATAGCCTGATGACATTCATCGAGAATTAATAATTTAATATGTGAAAATTCTATCTTATCAAAAATATTCAATTGAATTAAAATCAAGTTTTTTTTTTCTTTCTATTTACCTATGTAATTTCGATTAAGTAATTCATGAAAAACAGTTGGATGCATAACAAATACAGAACGTATTTGCATTTCTTGTAACCATTGTTCTTTTCTCCATAGAAGTACGCCATGTTCAATACCAAATGATCCAACATCAACTGGTAAATGACGATGAATCATTTCAGCTAATGCAACAGGATCTTGTTCTATAGAAACAAAAACAAAAACAACGAAATTATAAAAAAACTTCTTTGTTTTGTTTTGTAATTATAATTATACCCATTGAAAGACAAATAATACGTTGACCACCTTCATCAAAATTTCGTTGAATACCATATGAATATTCTCGTATAACATTTATAATAAGAAAATTTTTTGATGTATTACTATGTAAACAGACAACTGTATTTTCACGTTTGACTTTATCAAGAACTTCGACCTAAAGAAAAAAAAATCATATACATAAACAAATAAACAATAAGATTTATTTTTTTTTTAGTGATGTTTAGATAATCTAAAAAAATAACTAATGTTTAGAAGACCAAACTATTCTAGATTTTTCTATTACTCGCTAATATTCATCAAATAAATATCGTCTCAGTTGAAAAACAATTTGACATCTGAAGAGGTTCCCTCGTCAGCTAAGAGTCATCAGTGACACAATTTATTCATATCTATAGAAAATTGAAATTACTAATTCTTTCTCTTCATTTAAATTTTCAATGACGTTGACATGCAATATAAAATTTCAAATCATATTTATTCTTTCCGAATAATAAAATATACTTCTACATATGAATTTCATCATTCATCATTAGTGAAAAAGCATTTCATCATTAAATAATAATAATAATGTTTTCATCATCTTTCATTTGATAAATGTCATTCCATTTAATACAAAAAGAACCTTCTTGAATGAATACAAAATTTTACTCACTTCATATTTCGGTAAAGTAAAACTTTCCGATGGTACATCATCTATCCATGGTGTATTTCGTATAGCTCGTCGTCCACTTGCAGCTAATAAATAAGTTTTGACTTTGTCTATATTATTCGTTGATGTCATTATATGAAACTCTTAAATAATATATGTATATGCAAACTAGAAGCAAGATAGAAAAAAAAACAATAATAACTTTGTCTTCTCCCAATTAAATTCTTTTTTTTTTGAAGCAGAAACAAAAAAAATTGAAATGTCCATATAAGAATTATACACAAAAAAAGAAAAAGAAAAAGAAAAATTGAAAATTTTTATTTTTTAAAAGTTTAATGATGATTGACCATTTGTAATCGATGATGATGGTGGAATGACAAATAGTTCATTAGAATTTTCATTTGGATGAACTTCAACTGTTGTTACTGGATGTGCAGGAGGTGGTGGTGGTGGTGGTGGAGGAAGATGATGTTGATAATGTGATGAACTAGCTGTTGTTGTTGATTCATAATTAAGAATTTCTCGATGTGCTTCACGAATATATTGACTTTGTTTATAATAAATTTTTGCTGTACCTTTCAAAACAATAAATGCAATACCACCCTTCAAAAAAAGAAAATTATTAAAAATTAAAAGAAAATATAATCATTTTCTTGGTTCTTACTAAAAGAGTTCGTTGAAAATTTGAATGAACACGTTGAAACATAAATTTTCCAAATATCGTAGCAATTGTTGGTAATACAAGACCACCACAAATAAGTCTTGTTAATGATGCTGGATTAGAATTTCCATTACGTTCAGTCGGTACACGAGGTAAATATGATGTATGTTCTAAACAGAAATAGATATTTTTTTTTCTCTTTGTATTGAGAAAAAAACAAAGAAAAATCTCTTGTTTTGATTTACCATTTGGAAATAAATAATTCATTAAAGGTAATTTTGATGAATGTTTACGCCAAAATTTTAATACAGCTTCTTCCCATCGTATCATTCGTCCAAGAATTAAAACAATTGGAATTGTTGGTAAACCAATAAGAAGAAAAAGTGGATCAGCTTTTTCCATTACACTTAAACCTTCTTTATGTCCAAGAATCTAAAATATAATTTTGTTGTTGTTGTTATTTTTGTTTATAGAAATAAATATTCTCTACCTGCATAATTGTAACTGCACCATATGTAACTGCTGTCCAATAGACACTTCCAACAAGAATACCACCGGCAAGAAATGGACAAAAACGATTTAAAATACGTTCAATTAAATCAAGTGTATAAACTAATGGACCTAATATAAAATAATTTCATATTATTATATACATAAACATATTTTTGCTTTTACCTTGTTTTGGATATACAATAATGTATTCTGTATTACACTGTGGACATGCAACTTTAACTGAAAAAAATAAAAGAAAAACAACATTTTCAACAAAAAAAAAGAGAAAGCATAATGTGATACCTCCAGTTGATCCTTGTTGTTTTTCATCAACCCATCTTTGAAGACATTCTTGATGAACCCATTTAGCTGTTCCACGACAACGGCATGGTGATACCCAACAAGCTGAAAAATCATCTTCATCTGTTGCAAAACAAACCCAACAATGTTTCCCAGGAATACTATTACGTGATTGAATAGTATTTGTTAATGAAGTTCGATTACCATTTAATGGTGATGGTGGTGGTGGTGTTGGTAATGGTGTTTGAGAACTATTTGTTCGTGATACTATTGGAATATTTGTTGATTGATTAGTAAGAAATGATGATGAATTAAAATTATCCATAGAATATTTCTAAAAGTAAAATTACCTTTTATTTTATCAATAGAACTTAATATTAAGAAATAAAAGAAACGAGAAAATAAACATGTGAGACATTCGCTTTATTTTCGTTGGTGGGATTGATGATCCAGCTGAAGCTATTTGACTAGTAGTATTATTCATACACTAATGACATCTAGTATTACATATGATGAATCAACAGAAAATATTTCTTTTTGTAGAAGAAAATTAAATGAAATAAATAAAATCAAGTTTTTGATTGGTTTCATATAATATGTTATTCGACTTTGCTGTACTTTAATATCGTTTTAATGTTACATATGATCACAAGATGTTACACAAAAAAAAAAGATTATTCAATTATATTGTGAACATATTAGAATTGTTCATATTTTGTGCCATTTTTCAGTCGAAACATCGTTTCATCCGAAATAAATCGATTTATTGAATTATAAATAAAGCCTCGCCTTTTATTTAATAATTAGTTCGGACGATTTTCATTCATTGATTTCATGAAGTGGTCAATCATCTAGAAAGTGAAATTATATAAAGTGTACAATAAATGAGTTTCAATGAAACAATGAATTCGATTCTTAGGAGTCATTGAGGAGAACTCAATTGTCATACATCTATTAGAGTAAATATATATTCAAAGAATAATTCAAGTCTTTTGTGTTCATATTTCAGGATATTATAATTGATGTTAGAACAGTTTACAATGAAATCTTTTAATATGTCACTTAGTTGCACGAAATAACCTGTTCTATAGTGACGTTGTTTGACAATAAATGAAATAATTGTTTCATATCAGTTTTCATCTCAAGAATTGTTGAAAAAGATCGATATCAAAGAAAAAAAGATGCTTTTATGTTATACTGGTATTTTTACAACAAATGTTAAATATGTGCAATAGCTAGCAGCTGATAACACATACTATTGTAAACAAAACATTAGGCTTATTCTAAGGATTATCTTACCACCCTTTAAACTCAACTAGATATAAATCTGATAAATTATTGATCAATCCTCGAGATTTAATTTCTGTAGAAAATATAAAATGTTGTTGATATATAATGGATCGATTATTCATAGTAAAATTACTCATCTTTCTTATTACCAAATAGAAATGCGCAGTTTCAGTTTACTGATCACCGACATCATCAACTCAATTTAGGTAGTGCACAATGACATATTGGTACCAGGTTTGCTGAAACACTAGAACACATCACCACAAAAAGAGCATATTTAGCTTGGTTGATGCCTGAATGTTACAGCGAACACGGATGCCAGTGTAATCAATATTCCAGTAAACCTTTATCGATGACTCATAGTCAGTATTTCAGTATTTATATCAACACTACACATTCCTATTATCAAATTATTGTCTTTTTTGTCAATCAATTTTTAATATTCACTCTGTTCGATATGATTTAGCATCATACTCATTGATTTGGCCGTAACTATCTATAAAAAGTTGAATCTACTTTCTCAATGTAAATAATCGCATCATTTTGAATAGTTCCTCAAAAAAAGAAATATTCATTCAGAGTATTTTTTAACGGTTGTTGCAAAAGTTCTTTGACAAATGTGTATCCATTTTCCATCGGCTAAAACACGTTTTCGAAAAATCGAAAATACCTATCTAGAATCTACATCGAAAACTCTTTCTAATTGTATATTCAAGAATATTCTATCATGGCTCGTTTTTCAATAGTGAACACATCATTGAGTAACACAAAATGCACGATGTAAAAGAAAAATAGCTATTCAAAAGTTACTAATCCATCAGTATTTTGTGATTTCTTTCAATTCATTTAATAAGATTTTCTTCATCTTTTCACTATTGAATCAGCCGCTCTATTCTGAAGAAATTGTGTAGAAAATATTACGCAATTATTTGAGATAACATAGAAAAAAAATCAGTTTCTGAAATCTTGGCATCTTTTAAGTTGCTGCTGTTTTTTTTACTGTTCAATGTCAAAATTTGTCATTTCTAGAAACTAGCAACATCAAAGGTCTAACATATTTATAGGCGAGCATCTTGGATCATTCGTAGTCATTATTTCACGTGATTTCGATTTTTTTCAATATCGCTGTTTGAATTTCGAAAAATTTTCATCTGTTCAGTATCATTTTTACATTCACGAGGGAACATATTTAGGTGTCTAAGCCGTTTAGGGCCCATCTTCCGGCTATAAATAGGCCTCGATGAGATATGAAAAACCTGAAGCAGATCCATTTCCTCGCGCCTTTGTTTCTGAGATATGCCTGTTTTACTTGGTGTTCGGTCGAAGAGCCGGTATTTCAGAAAAAATCAGATGAATGAATTTTGATCTGAAATTCCACCTATAAACAGGTCTAATGATTCGTAGAATATTCCTAACGTTTCAGTCAAAATGGAGGCTCCAATAGGGAGCTACTAGAATTTCGATAAACACTCATATTTTGAGAGAATATTCTAAAGCCGAGATTTTTTAAAAACGGAATATGTCGCCTAGGAAGCATCCATTTGTACTGAAACGTTAGGAATATTCTACGAATTATTAGACCTATTTATAGTCGAAATGTCAGATCAAAATTTATTCATCTGATTTTTTCTGAAATGCAGGCTCTTTGATCGAACATCCAGTAAAACAGCTATATCTCAGAAACAAAGACGCAAGGAAATGAATCTTCTTCAGGTTTTTCATATCTCATCAAGATCTACTTATAGCCGAAAGATGGGCCCTAAATGGCTTGAACACATTAATATGTTCCATCGTTAGTGAAGAAATCCTTAGACACACTAAAATTAGGTCGTGCGAAGTGAGCCAAACATGCTAACCAGAAAATTGTGGTTCACTTCATATAGGGAAAATGGATCAATCAAAATGCGAGCCGTTACTTTACCGTCATCCAACCGTTTTCCCAAAACAGAACAATAATACTCACAACCCGGAAGTGTCATTCCCAACACAGAACAAACGTACTCATCTATCCGGAAGTGTTATTCCCATAACGGAACAAAGGTACTCAGTACCCGGGAATAGCACTTTTGAGTTGTGAGTAGTATTGTTCTGTTGTGGGAAAGATACTTCCGGTGCTAGAGTACTATATATTTATAGTGGGTATAGTATGGACTAATGGACTTCACTTTGGCTCACGCCAACTTTGACTCACTTCATACGACCGTATAGTGTGGCATTCTTTCTTTTTTGTTCGTGAACCCATGTCCATATCCGCATCGACATTTATGGATAACCAAACAATTAAGGCCTTTCTGTTAGCCAAGTAGGAATTTTGATTTAGGAATTTTTTTCAAAGTAAGATGTCTTATACATAGACCTGTAATCTGCGACGATTTCTACTTCTATGAATCCGTTCTGTTTGTTAAACTGAGTCCAATGACTAGTTCTTTTCAAATGAACTGGCTTAGCTTATATATAGTATATAGGATATTTTGAAAAATCTCTATTTGGTCACCACAATTGTCTTCATTGTTTGGTTATCTACAAATGTGTATGTGATTTAGGGATTAAGGAAAAAAGAAAGCAACAAAAAAAATAAAACAAAGAACATTTTTTCATCTTTTAAAAACCAATCATTTGACATTTTACTCTCATTTTCTTTTTTTGTGATCCATTTATCATCACATGATAACGTTTTGACATTTAAAAGAAATGATTATTGTATATACTTATAGGAATTATTTGCATATTTCTTTTTGTTTTTATTTAGAATTTAAAAAAAAAGATGTAATCCTCAACTAAATCCATATTTTTGAAAGAAAAAAGTAGTAAATTTTGTTTTTCTTTCATTATTTCTATAGGTATGTGGTAAAAGTTGAAAGATAATTAACACAAATGAATAGACCAGTTAAAATATTATTGATTGTAATCATACGCAATTTTTATTGTTTATTGAGTATCAATGATCAATCAACTCAAATAAGTACTTATTGTAATCCAATCAATATTGATTATACTTATAGTATCTACAATGCAAATGAAAATATTTCATATCGTTCTGGTGCTGATCCAGCTGTTGTTAAATTTAGAAATGAGTATTACATGTTTGTTACCCGTTCAATGGATTATTGGCATTCCACTGATTTACTTCATTGGTCATTTATAAATCCTGAAAAATGGTATTTTCAAGGCTCAAATGCACCAGCTGCTCATAATTACAATGATTCTGTTTTATATGTAACTGGAGATCCTTCTGGTTCTATGAGTATTCTTTATACAGATAATCCTAAGAAAGGAGATTGGAAAGCAATACCATTAATCATACATGATTTACAAGATCCAGATCTATTCATAGATGATGATGGTAAAGCTTACATGTTTTGGGGTTCATCTAATACATATCCTATTTGAGCAAAAACACTTGATAAAGAAGATATGTTTCGTCCTTCTAAAAATACCTATGAATTATTCAATTTAGATGAAAATAATCATGGATGGGAACGTTTTGGAGAAAATCATGGTGATAAAGTACTTAAAGGATATATTGAAGGTCCTTGATTAACGAAATATAATAATACGTATTATATGCAGTATGCAGCTCCTGGAACAGAATTTAATGTTTATGGTGATGGTGTTTATATAAGTGATTCACCTCTTGGGCCATATCGTTATGCACCAAATAATCCTATTTCATACAAATCAGACGGATTTATGAATGGTGCTGGACATGGTAGTACTGTAATTGGACCTAAAAATAA